CCAGCGACCAAGTTCATACCGGGCCCGGACGCTACCGATTTGGCTACGACGGAATGATACAAAGCACAACTTTCGGCGGCATCCAGATCTCAGCTGTGAAAGGCGCCAGGAATACACTTGGCCAGCAGAGCACGAAAAATTATCTCGAACGGGATTCGAACCACCGACCATTCCCACGAGCTGCCTACGATCACGCTGTAACACGCTCGGCTACCAGCTTGCTCCTCCGGGGCTGAGGTCTGATCTCGGTTCTGCCTAACGGGAGACGAAAAGCGGCAAAGAAAAATTTGCCCTGCCCGGGATTTGATCTTAGAGCCGACAATTTTGGTTCGGATGAAGCTGCATGAGGTCATGTCGACTGTAGGTACAACTGTTTAACTGCAAAAGGGGCGTGTGGCTGGTGGCGTCGGACATCGTATGTTGCCCCATTTGTGACCACATTTTTGTGTCCATGAACAGAGACGTGTCCACTACTACTTGTCGCCGCGACACGAGTTGTCGCTTACGCCTGCGAGGTAGGCCACGGCTTCTCTCTAAGGCGTCTGCCGTGACGCGGACTTTGGGTTTAAGCTCCTTTTGACCCGATGCTTATAAATCCTTTCTAAAGCTAAGAAGTGACGCCGTGTCAATCTAGGCGTGGGTCGATGATTGTCGCTGAAAACGCCTGGAGGGTAGGCAATGCTTTCCTGAATCGGGCCCCCGAGGCCCCCTGTCCCTCCGAGGGCTTGGACAAGGTGAGAGCTTCGAAGAGGCATTGGCATCTTTCGTTTTCGCTTCAGTTCTTAGCGCTGTGTACTTCTGGTTGATATTCTAGCATTGGCAGAAGTAATGAATTCGTCTATAGACGGTTCAGTTTAAGCTGACTCGGGCACTGTTGGCTGTAGCTAAAATCGGGTAGTTACAAACAGGGGTGTTTTTAAAAACTTTTCTTTTAATTTCTTTGAACAAAACCCTTTTATTCTGTCATAAGCTATCGACATGAGCGAGTAAATGCGTGTTCGTATTTGAGTGTGTTCTATTTCGACCCTCTAAAAAATTTGAATGTTATGCTTGTTTTGGGGCAATCTCCGGAACTAACTCATGTTGAGTTACAACTACGACGTCTTAGTTTTATTTTTCGACGTCTCCTGAAAATTAGTGCGTCTGGGTTCTGTGACCTGGGCGATCGTGATGATAGTCCTTTCAATTTTATGTGTGACGTCAGAACAAGACGTTTTGCGGTGGACGGGTCACGTCGCTCGTTTCTGAGAGACCAGCGTCACTCGCCCCTGTCTGCTGCTGTGTTGCCTACTTGGTGAGGCTAGGCCTTCACGGCCTGACTGCGTCATTCTGTGGAATAGGGGTGATTGGCACCATGACCACAACAATTCAGCGCTGAATCACCCAATTTTTCTCCTCGGAAAGCCGGCAGGGTGTTCGAGCCTTTTTGTCGTAGCTCTGGGGACCCTGCCTGCAGTTTAGATTAATTACGATGCTCTGCTAATCTTAGTGTGTACTTAGTAGTTTGCCAGTTTAAACTGTGGAACTAAAAGTTTGCCAGTTGTTACCGTAGAACTCTTTAGCTCGCCAGTTCTAACTGTAGAACTTTTTAGTTCTACACCAACAACTGGCACACTTTTAGTTCTGGCAAACTACTACACACTAAGATTAGCAGAATGGTGTGTGGTGCGTTGGTACTGCTCGATACGAAGCATTTTGCTTTCTAATCCGTCTTACCACTCCCTACTCCCCTGTATGAAGGCAACCCACACCACGCACGCTATGTTCCTGGGCCGTTTGCTAGCAGATGTAGCAGTTTGGCCCCCATCCGTATCTGCCCCCGAACAATATCAACTTCAGGTGCGGTATAAGGTCCGGCTGGGGGGGGGGGGTGTACCATGGGTTGCCTTCTTACAGGGGTTTGTGGCAAAAATTACCTACCTTTTAGGCGGATCACAAGAGTCAATGGGGGAGGGACGATCGCCCCGCCCCCCTTTATACCGCGCCTGGTCAACTTGCTTGTCACCCTTTTCGGTCTGATACCTGGTGGTGCCTGGCCCGGCTGGGTGAGTACCCTCTTAGGCCCCGCCTGACCATAAAACAAGATCTCAAGGCCATAAGGCGGCGGCCAAACAATGTGGCTTAAATATCGTTAAATCCGGACAATTGTCTGAGCTCACCCATATAGCTCCAGTTGCGTCCAGAAACCTGTTACTCCTCTTTTTTGTGGACACTCCTCCCTCCAACAGTAACGCTCGGTCCCCGGCCACAACGCCGCTCCATGAACCAATGACCTACACAGTATGACGTACGCGGCCCGGTCCGGCCCGGCCTAAATTAGGCTCTTATTTACCTCGCCGGAACAGACGCGCGGGAGGGGAAGAGGAAGAAGACGGTCCGAGGCGGGGCGCCAAAAGTGCGCCAACGAATCCGAGTATATAAGCCAACCCCGGGTCAACCCTGCTCATCAGTGGACAGAGGGGCCTGAACGCAACAACAGCTAGCAAGGATGTCATTCATTTCGGTGAGTACCAACAGTGTTCATTTCTGACAATTCCGACGACAATTCGATGACATAGAGGGGGAGGACCAAAAAAATACTAATGATAATTTCCCCCATTTTGCAGCCACTTCTGGTGGTGCTGGCCGCGGCGCTGATGGTGTCGACGGCGGCGGGGAAGTCCATCCAGGACCCCGCGCCTCCCGGCCGCGGACAAGAGCCCGTCAGGTCTGAGTCGGCCGACGAGATCCTCGGGGGATCGGAGCACTACGGCTACGGCGGATACGGAGGAGGGTACGGAGGATATGGAGGATACGGAGGCTACGCAGGATACGGAGGATACGGAAGGATGGGACGCGGCTATGGAGGCTATGGTGGATACGGAGGATACGGAGGATACGGAGGATACGGAGGATACGGGGGGTATGGTGGATACGGTGGGTACGGACATCATGTACACCACCATCACGGGTATGGGGGATACGGAGGATATGGTCATGGGCACTGGCGCTAAGTGTGACGGACGTTTTCCCGTACCCAATCCACTGCAAACATTTCGAAATTAATGTCGAATTTGTGAAATTGCTCTCATTTCGCACTTCCAGTTAGTTATCGCTGACGGTTTGTTTGTTAGTGTTTTCATTGCTCACAATGTGTACACAACTAAATGCATTTCATGAATTTCATTGATACTTTGAAATCTTTTATGTTGAGTTGTTGAGTTACTGTTATAGTAAAGAGCTGTTTTCTGTGAAAACTTATTTTTTAATTGTGGAAAGAAATAAAGGGAGGATAACTAATTCAACATGTTCTTTATTTATGGTATCAGACGATTTCACAACATGGTATTATTTTGTATGTTGCACTATTACAGTTTAATTTCATGCCATAATTATTGGTCAATACATTTGCTGTCAGACACACCTCGGCACAAATCAGGAAACAAAAACAGACTTTGTTACCTAAATATCAACACCCACAGCATACAAGCATTGCTAACTATTACTAAAAAAACCTATTGTAGATGTGTTGCTTAGTATACCACAGCAAAAGAAATAAGCTACTTCCCTGTTGTGACATTAAGTCCAATTAGATTTTATACAACAGACGAAAATACTATAAGACACTACAACAGTAGTGACCCCAAATGCATATCACAGAAAAAAAAGGACAATCGCAAGATATGTAAGATGAATCATAGTAGGTGCCAGATGAGAACTTTCTATTTCTTTTCTTGAAAAAAGTAAAAATAAATTGCCTCTAACTATTACATGATTCCATGCACAAGTCAAATAAGGTGGGGCTGAGTACAAACAGAAATGACAATGTTGCACTTGACTTTTTTGTACACTGATACACTTTTAAAAATATTAAATGACCGGAATGAGAAAGAATGAGTCATCCTCAATAGCAAATTTAATTTCAAAATACTGAGAAAGAGACCGCGTTTCATCAAATACTTTTATTTATTAGACTAACACAAATTTGTTTAACGATGCAGATGATTTTGTACTGAATTAAAAATTCAAGCCCCAAAGTCTGAATTCTTTGAAGAATTTGTACTGACAGTCACTGAGTCACAGTTATACTTAACTATAAGCCACCACACAAGTCTACAACAATGCGCAGTTCAGGAAAGAGTGAAAGAAGAAAAGCTACGGAAAAGGTAGAATTGAGACTTTTGTTGCATAGATATATGTTCATGCAATACTTGAACAAGTTGGCTGCCACAAGAAAAGAGAAATTCAGCATCCACAAAGCATAGGGCATAATTTTGAAGATTATCAAGTATTAAAAGACAAGTCATTGAAGAGCACATTTCAACAGACATAGATCAACCAGAATGGAGACAGATTTTGATTTTTAGTTTCATGGTAAGCACGTAGGTAAGATATCAAACCAAATGTCACTATATCCACAAACCCAACATCTGCTTAAGAATACTACAGCAAATATTCCTCGAGTGCATCAAAGAGTGAACTAGAACAGGTCGAACAAACCTACGAAAATACTGTACATCAGGCCACAAATCTCAAACATTTGCGAGGGAAACGACATCTAACATTATTGTTCTGATACCTTAAAATGTATGTGTTTTAAAATATAAATCCTCAGTATAACTATAAACACAGAGCCAGAACCAGAAATACGTCCATATCATACTTCGGTCTGTCATCTGATGACTATAAGATGATGATGTATGGTGGACAACAAAATGAGATATGTTTAAAACAAATATTTTTAACAACAATATATACTAGTCTGTACACATCGGTCAACATAAATACCATTATCGTACGTAACTCCAATAGGTCTAAACGACACAGTTCCTCAACATTAAGCTCGAAAAGTGACAATACAAGCACACATCTCTTATGACTACATTATTACACATGATACATGCCAAGAATGATGTACTTGGTGGCCTCCAAGTGCAGTACTGCTTAATTCGTTACAAAGCATCTCCCTCCATTAAGTACTTCAAATGCCCCAATATACATATCTTCAAAAAGCCACCAACCTTACCCATCCTCATACTCACACACACACACCCTGGAGTAGAAAAGAGGACAGACTCCTCCTTCATGCTCGCGTTGGGATCAACGAAAGACCTACCTCAATCATCCAAAATTGACAATATTACTAAAATTTGTATTACCTAATCTAGCTGTAAGAGGAATGTGGTTTGCACCTACATTTAACAAATTTCTTTTCCATTAACATGAAATACCTGAAAGGCACAATTACACCAGTAATACTTGTTAACATGACATGTGACTGAAAATTGGAGTTGCTCTCTAACAATGCTCTGCTTGTGCCAGTACTTGTGGTCTAAATTGTAGACTTTCTTTTTGCTGCATTACTTTTGTATGGGAGTGCTCACTTCCAGCACAAGCTGGCGGAAATGTATCCTGCAGATGTGATGTGCCGAGTCGAGCAGGGCCTGATCCGGCGGCGCTAGCGCGGGGCGCGGACAACACCAGGCACAGCGCGCGATTAAGAAGAGAACAAGAGAGTCAGTAAGTCTCATCGGTTTGTCTACCGAAGCGGAACAGAGAAAAAAGAAACGGAAAGAAAACTTAACAACATTAAAAACAACACGAGATTTAATGCTGGCGGAAGACGTGTCGCTTATTGTCGGTTGGCCGGTGCCTCTCGAGTGGCCTTCCCTGTGCGGGCCGTGGGCTGCGGCACTGCTGTGCTCGCAACACAGTGGGCGACAAATTGTCTTGACTCGTGGAAAATCGTGGCACATGAGTATTGCGTTCAGCGTCCCCGTACACTAACCAAAATATCAATAACAAACATCCAGCGATGTATTTGCTACCTAAGACTTAAAAATTGCGATACGCAGTTCTCCGGCCGAGGGTGCGGCAACCACCCTCGCCGTGACACGCAAAAATAACAATTAACTCAGTTACTTCACAAATATATGTACAAAAATTTGCCCTCAAAATATTACAATGTGCGTTTTGATTCAAAACATATTTTGTAATATAAATGCACCCTCCACAACAAACCGTACATACACACAGTGGTAAATTGTTTTGGCAGCTAGACACCTTTACCGAGCCGCGCTAAATTTAATACCTCTTTAAATAATCACTTTGGTGGTGCTTGCAGATTGGTCAACTCTCAAACTAAAAATAAATAAGAAGGACTTGGGGCGACCCTCATGGAACGTGGGCTCGCTCTGCATGCTAGATGCGCGAGATGGTTTATTTGTCCTGGCCGTCTGGTGATGACGTCGTCGAGATGTCAGGAGATTCGGTGCTGTCGGGGGACATCTAAAAGAAACCCATGTGACAATTAGGGCTAGGACTAAAACTCTTTTCGTACACGATGTAGTTCGTGCCTGTTTTCTGGCAATAGATGACTTAATTTCGTACCTGGCCGTTGATCTTGGCGCAACCGTTCACTTTCACAGGAGAAGAGTATTCGACACCGTTGGGGTGATCTGTGTCGAGCGACAACGCCGTCGTTCGCGAGAGGACGTCACCGACGGAGCCGTCGTGAACGTAGTCGCACGGTTCTAGTGACAGCTTGACGCTCTCTTCGTTCTGAACCCAAAGTCACACACAGGTTATAGCCGTGATATAATGTCACAGAGAGAAAAATAATTGCATGCGCAGAGAACTAGTAATGCTAGAAGGACTCACCACTATCTTCAGCCTCTCCATCAGCCGGCTCCTGTCGGCCTTCAGCCTCTCGGCCTCGTCGGCCTGCTTGGCGGTACGCAGTCCCGACACCTCGAGCAAGGCGAGGTGGGCGTCCTTCTCCGAGATGGTGGCCTCCAGCGCCTCCTGCCTGGACATCAACAAAAGGACGTTTAGTCTCGGTGACCAGTTTCTCCCGGAGGGGGAGGCAGCCCATCGCGCTCGACACTCACTTCATGTGGCTGAGCTCCGCCAGGTGGCGGCGCCACTCGGCCGCCTGCCGCTCCAGCTCCTGCACGCGCTGCAGCAGCGGCCGGCAGGTCGGGCAGCGGATGGCGTAGGCCGTCTGCAGGGACAGCAGGCGCTGCTCCAGCTTGGCCACGGTCTCCATGATCTGCTTGCGGCGCGTCTCCTCGTTGGCCGTGATGCGGACGCTCTCCCGCAGCGCCTCCTGCAGCTCCTCGATGCGCTCGTCGCGGTGCGTGAGCGCGGCGGCCAGCTCCTCCAGCTCCGAGGCCTCGCGGTCCGTGGAGCTGCGCAGCGCGTGCTCCAGCTCCACCACCTCGGCCTCCAGCTCGGCCTGGCGGGCCGCCCGGCGCGCGGCCTCGCCCTCGGCCTCCCGCAGATGCTCCAGAAGCTCGGCCTCGCGCTCAGCCCACCGCACGGCCTCCCCCTCGGGCACGTCCTGCTGGGTGGGGTTGGCGTCCGCCTGCAGCCGAACCTCCAGCTCCTGGACTTTGGACTGCAGCTCCGCCTCCCGCATCTTGGTCTCGGCCTCCGATGACTCCTTGTCCTGCTGCAATCGGCTCGCGGCCTCGGCGTCGGCCTGGTCCCTCTCCTGCAAGCGGCCTCGCAGCTCCATTACCTCTGCCTCGAGTTCGGCCTCCCTGGCGTCTCGCCGAGACCTCTCCGCCTCAGCCACCGCCCTCTTCCTGGTCTCGGCCTCAGTTTCTTCCGTCTTTTGCAGGCGACTCCGCAGTTCCATCACCTCCGCCACCATCTCGGCCTCCCGAGCAACTAGGCGTGCCATTTCTTCGGCCTGGAAAATGACAACAGTTTGGGCAAGTTAGCAAATAAAGTGGATGCGATGACAGTGGCAGCAACACATCATGTCGATAATTGGGGAATTGTCCTACCTCTTCCCTCAATGCTGCGCCCTGGTCCCGCTCGCCCTCCAGAGCGAGGTTCCGCCGTTCGCGCGCCCTCTCCAGCGCTCTCTCCAGCGCGGGCCTCAGGCCAGGTACCTCTAGCAAGGTCGGCTCCATGTCCGAGTCCACGAGGAGGCTGTCCAGGGCGGACGTCAGTACCTCACCGTCAACGGCAAGTGCCATCTAACATGTCAAGGGGCGGGACAGGACGGGGCCCAACAACAAACGTAAAAAAATAAAATACAAATCATAAAACTAAAAAATAAAACGGAAGTAGGGAAGGTAAAAAAATAAAAGTTGACAAGCTACGAACAATCGTCAAGGGAAAGATAAAATATATCATAGTTTACAACGAAGAGAACAGAACAAGCGATTGGCTAAGATAAATTTGACTTGTTTCCACGTTATGTACACATATCAAAAAATTAGCTAATTTTAACTCTTTACAGTCGTAAGCGTTGTGGGAAACAAGTTCTTTGAACACATTATTTTAGAATTTTAACAAATTGTCTTCGATATGCAAAGTAGGCAGTTGTACTCGCACGCACACACACACTCATGCACGCCCGCACCCGCCAAAGTCAATTTAGCACGACAAAGTAAAGCCATTCCACGTAATTTCGATCCACCCAGACACTCAAATTAATATTTGAAAGTCATTTTTGTTTCTAATCAAGTAATAAACATCATTCTTGTTAGCGTCTGCCACGGCTTTAGCAGTCCAGAAAAGTTTAAAGAGAACATCAAAGTTAATTAGAAAAGGCTCTTGAAGAAGCCGCCAGCCTGAGTGGTTGCAAGATGAGGAGTAGAAAGCAAAGCAAAGGAACAAAATAAAAGAGTAAAGGAGGAAATGGGAAGAGGGAAAGTGAGAAAAAGAGAAGACAGTTAGTAAACATGATAAATCACAAACAGTGTCCGACCACTGCACGGCACAAACCTCCTCTTGCAGCTTCGTCGCGGCCGAAACAGCCGCAGTTGCTGGCCCGCTGGCGCCAGCTCGAAGCTTGGCCTGGGCAGCCTTTAATGCTCTGAAAACAAGACAAGCGAATGAGTTTGGCTAATACAATTGAACCAAGAGCCGCCTAGAGAGACAGACTACTTCGGAGAGGTACACTTACTCGTGGAGGTCGTGGATCTGCTTGTCTTTGTTGTTCTGTTCCTCCTGGCTCATCTGCACGAGCTGGAGAAGGCGCTCCATCTCGACGGCAGAGCGCTGGGACTCCTCTTTGCTGGCCGCCAGCTGCTTCTGTTGCTCCTGCAGCTGCTGCTGCAGCTCCTGGACCTTCTTCTGCTGCTCGGCGGCGCCCGCGGCAGCCCCCGCACCCGCCGCCCCCTGCTGCGGGAGAGAAAGAGAGGACGGATGTCAGAAACGACACGCCGTGCGAAGAGCGAGTAGGCACCACGAACGCTCGCCGGCGTGCGGAGCGGCTCAACCGGGCTCAACTTCAAGCGCCTACCTTCTGCAGGGCTTGCTCCATCTGGTCGATCTTCTCGCGCCGCTTCTTGAGCTTGTCCTCCATGTCGGCCAGGGCGCGCTCGCGCTCCTCCAGCTGGCGGGCGCGCTGGTCCGCGCCCTTGCGGAACTCGTCCAGCCGCCGCCGCTGCTCCTCCAGCTGCTTCTTCTGCTCCTGCAGCTGCTTCTTGAGGTTGGCGGTCTCCTCGCTCTCGCGCCCCGCCCCGCTCGCCATCTTCTGCTTGGCCTCGTGCAGGTCCAGCTGCAACACGACAAGCGCGTTAGGTCTCCCTCCGCGCCACTCAAGGTGCCCCGCAACCCAGGATCAACGAGACGACGCTACCCAGGCAAAGCGATGCGGGGAAATGTTTGGCTCCTTTCGGATTTCGTCTCATCGTCGCCGACAGAGTATGTAAGCCATGCCAGAAGAGCAAAGTGCGAACTAGTTTAGGCGGCTTAACAAAACTTCGTCATGTTAGCGCCTGCAGTGCGCTGGATAGGCCAACCCGCCAAGCACCCGCGTGGAGCCGGTGGCCCACATCGTGGGCGCTCAAAGGCTGTGGTGAGAAAAGAAAACCCCACGATCCTCCCCGCATTGCATGCGACGGCCTTAGGCGCAACCTACGGCAAAGCTCTCGTAACCGAAATATAGAAGTGCTGAGTTATTCAGCTCTTCCTACGGACACTACTAAAATGAATGCAGTATGATAACTATGGTACATAACATTTGCAAAGGCAGAGTCACAAGTCGACAATCAGAGACATTAACAAAATGATAAAAGAATTTAACGGAGACGATTATAATCTGTACAGCAAGTACTTAATGTATCGATAAATCATAAACAGACAGGTTGTGATGAAAAATTCAAAAAAGTGTGGAAATAAATACAAGCGTTAACAAAATAATAAAAAGAACCATTATTCAAGATATACAAATGATAACAAAATGTGTGAAGAACGTGCAGGACATTTGACTGTCAAAAGCGAAGAAAGCTGAAGTGACACTCGAGTTTCCCAGGCACCGTGTCCTCCGACTGACCTGGCTCTTCTCCAGCTCGGTGACAAGCATCTCGAGCTGCGCTTTGTAACGGTCCGACTCGGTAGTGGCGATCTTGAGGTCCGCGTGGGCCTTGTCGAGCTCGGCCAGCAGACGCTGGATGTCCTCCATGGCGCTGGCGTTGGCTGCGCCGCCACCGGCCGCCGCCTCCTGCAGCTGCCTCTGCATCTGCTGCACCTGTCGCTGCAAGTCGGCCACGGCCTTCTCTGCCTTGGCGGCGCGGCCCCTCTCCTGCTCCAGCTGCCCGCGGGTCTGTTCCATCTGCTGCAGCTGCGCCTGCAGCCGCTGGATCTCCTTGTCCCGCGCCTCGAGCACGTCCCGGGTGCCGCGTTCCGTGTCCTGCGACATCCTCTTCAGCTCCGCCCGCAGCCGGTTGGCCTCCTGCCGTTCGCGGTTCAGCGCCTCTTCGCTGGCCGTCAGCTCCTGCTGGAAGTTCATCAGCATGTCCTGGGACTTCTCCAACTGCAGCACAAGCTGGTCGCGCTCCGTCTGCAGCTGTTTGGTGTCGGCCTCTAGTTTCTGCACCACCTTCTCCAGCTGCGCCACCGCCTTCTCCCGCTTGTCCATCATGAGGGCCATCGCCTTCTTGTCCTCGCCCGCCTTGTTGAGCTCCTGCTGCAGGCGCTGGACCTCGGCCCCGTCCTGGCGCGACCGCACCTGGTCGCCCTGCATCTGCTCCATGGCCTTCATCACCTGGTTCACCTCCTGCTTGAGCACCTCGCGGTCCTTCTCCAGTTCCTTGGCGCGCGCCGCCTCCGCCTGCGCCTGCTCCAGCTTGGCCTGCATGCGGTCCAGCTCGGTCGCCATGCGCTCGAACTCGATGCGGGCGGCCTCGTTGTTCTCCTGGTACTTGCCCAGGTGGAGCTGAGACTTTTCCAGCTCGCGCGTGAGCCGCTGCACCTCTTGCTGGGTCTTGGCGAGGTCCGCGCCCGACGCCTGGCCCTGCTGCTGCGCGCGCTCCTGCTGCTGGAGCTCCATGCGCAGGCGCTGCACCTCCTCGCGGGCCTTGTTGAGGTCCGCGGCGCTGGCCTGCTGCTGCTGCTGCACCTCGAGGCGGAGGCGCTGCACCTCTTGCTGCGCCTTGGCCAGGTCCGCGCCGCCGCTCTGCTGCATTTGCGTCAGCTCCATCCGGAGGCGCTCGTTGTCCTGTTGCACCTTCTCGAGGCGGTCCACGACCCGCTGCACCTCGGCGCCGCTGCGGTCCGCCACGCCGCGCTCCATTTGCGCCAGCTCGTGGTGCAGGCGCTCGTTCTCCTGCTCCAGCACCTCGGCGCGCAGCTGCAGCTTCTCGTGCCTGTCCCGCACCTTCTCGCACTCGATGTGCAGCCGCTCGAGCTCCGACTCGTACTTGTCGCGGCCGCCCACCGCCTTGGCCGCGTCCGCGCGCGCCCGCTCCACCTCGAGCCCCAGCTCGTGCGCGCGCACCTCGAGCTCCTGGCGGGCGCGCAGCGCCAGCTCCAGCTCCTCGCGCAGCTTGTCCGACTCGCTGGACCAGCGCTCCTGCTCGTACTGGAACTTGGAGCGCGTGCCCTCGGCGCGCTCCAGCTCCTGGCGCAGCCGCAGCACCTCCTGCTCCGCCTTGCGCGCCCGCTCCAGCTCCAGGCCCACCTTCTCCAGGCGGTCGCGGAGCATGTCGGCCTCCATGCGCACGCGGTCGTGGTCCTCCTTGGCGCGCTCGTGGCCGCGCGCGTGCATGGCGTAGCGCTCCGCCTCCTCGCGCATCGTGTCGGCCTCGCCGCGGAAGCGCTCCAGGTCCGACTGCGCCTTGCGCGCCTCGACGGCCGCCTTGTCCAGCTTGTCGTGGAGCTTCTCCACCTCGACCTGGAGCCGCGCCACCTCCTCCTGGGCCTTCTCGTAGCTCGCCTGCGTCTTGGTGGTCTGCGCGTGCGCGCGCTCGATCTCGAAGGCAGCCCTCTCCAGGTCGCCCTGCATCTTCTCCCGCTCGGCCTGGAGACGCCGCGCCTCGATCTGGGACTTCTCGTAGCGCTCGCGCATCATGTCCAGGTCGACGGACAGCCGGTCCATGTCCTCCTTGTGCTTGTCCTCGTTCTCGCGCGTGCGGCCCAGCTGCAGCGCGGCGCGGTCGTACGCCTCCTGCACGCGCGCCAGCTCCTCCTGCAGCTTGCGGCACTCGTCGCGCGTCTTGGCGGAGAGCAGGGTGGCCTTCTCCACCTCCATCTCGAGCCGGTCCTTCTCGGCCTCGGTCGCGTCCAGCTTGTTCTGGATGCGGTACACCTCTCCCTGGTACCGGTCGTACTTCTCGAGAAGGCGCTCCATCTCCTTGGACGAGGTGTCCTTGTCCTCCAGCGCCTTCTGCGCCACGAGCTGCGCCTTGTCCAGCTTGTCCTTGACGAGGTCCAGCTCAGCCAGCGCGTCGTCCCGCACCACCTGCGCCTTGTCCAGGCGGTCCTTGAGCGCGTCCAGCTCTGCCAGCAGCGCCTCGCGGTCGCGTTGCGCTTTGCCCGCCTGGGTGGCCACCTGGCCCTGGAGCTTGACGAGCTCCTCCTGGAAGGAGTCGCGCTCCTTCTGCAGCCGCGCCGTGAGCCCCTGGACCTTGTCGTACTTGTCGCGGAGCCGGTCGGCGTCCAGCTGCACCGTCTCACGCTCCTTCTGCAACCGCGTGGCTTGGCCGAGAGCCTTGTCCAGCTGCGACTCCATGCTCTCGAAGTCGTAGGCCTGCTTCTCCTTCTCCAGCTGGAGCTGCAAACAATAAACAAACACGGAGTTACAGCCAATTTCCTAGGGTTCAACAAGCACTGTATTTCTGCTAGATTGATATCTGAACAAGTTGACTACACGCATCAGTGCTCGGCACACTTACCCGTCGGAGCTCGCCGGTGGTCTTGTCCATGCGCTCCTGCAGCTTGTCCACCTCCGTCTGCGACTTGTCCAGCAGGTTCTGCAGCTTCTCCTGCTGGAGCTGCGCCTTGCCGAGGGTGGCCTGCGTCCGCTCCAGCTCCTCGCGCGCCTTGTCCAGGTCGGCGACGGCCTTGTCGCGCTCGGCGTGCAGCCGGCTGACGGACGACTGCATGCGCTCGTACTCCTCGCGCAGCGACTCGCGCTCGCCCTGCGCGTTCTCCAGGCGCGCCTTGAGCCGGTAGACCTCGCCCTGCGACTTCTCCAGCTTGTCCTGGAGCGAGGCGGCCTCGGCGCGCGCCCGCTCCGTGTCGGCCATGGTGACGCGCAGCTCGGCCTGCGCGCGGCGCAGCTCCGTGCTGGCCTTGTCGGCGCGCTCCTGGCAGCGGTCCAGCTCCTGGCTCGTGGTCAGCGTGCTGCGGCCGAACGTGGTCTGCGAGCGCTCCAGGTCGTGGCGCAGGCGCTCGTTCTCCATCTCCAGGCGCGCGAGCCGCTGCTTGGCCGCCTCCCAGTCGGCGCCGCTGCGGCCCACCTCGCTGGCCGCCTTGTCCAGCTCCGCCTTGGACTTGCCCAGCTCCGACTGCGAGCACTCCAGTCGCGTCTCGAGCCGGTCCTTTTCCACCTGAGGAGGTCAGAGATCAGTTCCACGTCTGTACCCAGTGAGAAATCGAAATCGACGCGATATCGAACTGACATCGAAACGATATCAAAAATGTGTCAATTTCAGTGCCATTTCCTGATTGATTCGGCACGAAAATGGACAATTTTCCGACATCGATTATCAATATTGGTCAGATATCGTTTTGACATGACGTTTCTCACTAGGTAACCCCTAACGGGTGACGGTACGTCCTGTATTATGACAGCCTACCTGCGCTCGGTCCAGGCGCGCCTGCAGCTTCTCCACCTCGCTCTCCAGGGCGTGCAGCTTCATCTTGTACTCGGCGATCTCGCGCTCGTGCAGCTCGCGCTCCTCCTGCTTCTCCTGCTCGGCGCGATCACGCTGCTCGCGCAGCTGGTTCATCTGCTTCTCCTTGTCGCCGATGGCCTCCTCGAGCGAGGAGAGCGCGCCCTCGGACGAGCAGTGGTGCGCCTGCATGGCCGACAGGCGCGCGCGCGCCATGTCCACCTGGTTGTCCTTCTCCTTCAGCAGGTCCTCCAGGTTCTCGATCTGCAACGCGTCAACGGGGGGAGGTCAGCACAGGGAGAGGCGGGAAAAGCAATGCAGAGGGTTGGGCAAATAATAATTAAAATAAGCTAATAAATAAAATGAAAATTTAAAACAAAACAATAATAAAGCAGCCAGCGTACCTTTCTCTCCGTCGACCCGATGCTCTACGCGTCGCCGCTACGGCGCCGACCCAATAAGACTCTACACTTTGCAACTTTCTACACAGTGGCGGGTGCAAATTGATGTCGTAGAAGACGGGCGTTCAAAATTCAACAGCAAAATAATAGACAAAAGAGTAATACAAGAAAACAAAATAAACAATAACAAAACAAACAGAAAACAAAAGACTGAACAAATTATAAAATAATAAAAACGAGTAACAATAGAAGCGAATCCTATACTACGTCATCATAAAAGTAAACAGTCATACAAAATTTACAGGGGTGAATGTGAAACATATGAAAAGGGTTTGAATCGGCCAGCTGTCGACATGGGACTCCACCAGAAAACGTACGACTTAGCGACGTGGTCGACTGAATACCATTGAATTGCAAATTATTTTAATCTCTGCCTGGTACACGCACACTGCGGCGCAGGGCGAGCGCGAGCGACAGCATATGTGCAAGGGAATACCATTCTCGTCTCTACCCCGCGCGCGCGCGCTGGCCCGTTTGCCCAGCCAATTGGAAAGGGTTAACCCGAGCGAGGGGTCGCACACGAGCAGGGAGGATTTATGCCCCAGGAGGGCCTGGCGGCGCCTTGCGCCGGGAGAGGTGTCTCACTGTAAAACTACTGGCCGGGCCGGCAATCTCCGCCGGAGCCGGACCGTCCCGTCCGTTCCCCCGGGGACACTTTACCTTTCGCTGCAGCACGTTGATCTTGCGGTCCTTGATGTCCATGTGGTCCCGCATCTCGGTCAGCTCGTTGTTCATGCGGTTGCGGTCCTGTGTGGCCTGCAACGCCGTCGACGTCTTCTTCTCGATGTGTCTGTTTTTCTCCTCCAGCCGCTGCCGCAGCTCCTCCACCTGGATCCGATCACGCACAAATATTTATTTCTTCACACAATTTCCGTTATTCTAATTCATTCCGTGCCCCTGCTTTGTAGGGCGGGCGGTTAGTTCTCTGGCGTATAGCAACTATGAAGTGCATGCCAACAGAAATAATAGGGGGTTGGAGAGGGGGAGAGAGAGACGAGGGGGGGGGGGGGGTCGGAGAGGGGCGTAACGGACAGCAGCAGACACGCCGGCTGCAGACACGCGGGCCATAGGGCGGTGCTGCCGTGCGGAGGGGACTGGAGGGGACCGGAGGGGACCGCGCGTATCGATTTCAGCGCGAATGCTGCGACCAGGCAAAGCCAGGCAGGCAGGCGTGCGCTCAGGCAGCAGCCCCTACAGGCAGCCCGCCCGCCGCTCCGCGATGCTGTACGGTAGGCAAGCTGGCCTAGGACCCGCGGAAGAGTGCACAGGTGTGGGCGGGGCTGGGCGGAGGGTGTCAGGGGGGAGGGGTGGGGACTTTTCGCGTAGCATGGTCACATATACTTACGTCAGCCTGGAGCATGTTGTAGTGCTCCTCCTTGGCGCACAACGACTCCTTGAGCACAGCGATGTGCCTCTGGTAGTCCTGGTGCTGCTCCTCCAGAGTCTTCATTTTGGCCGACATGGCCAAGATCTCCTGGTCCCGCCTCTGGATCTCTGAACGGAAGTCCTCGAGCTGTGTGGCGCAGCAAAAAAACAAGGATCGGGGTCAGACTCCGTCGGTGACATTGGTGGCTCCGAGATCCACGGGAGAATAATGGGGCGGCTGATTTGTAGTTCGACATGATGAGAGCACCCACTTCTCTCTGATTTAAAATTCGCGTTCCAGGATCTCAGACCACACTTAGAGGATGGCAACAAAACGATTCGCCTTCGCGAGGTTCGCTCCAATGCCAGTATCTGGTCGCCCCAGTTGCCAACTGGCACATTTTCTTCCCGATGTGCCAAACCAGATTCGAGAAGCGACGGTTGGGAGGAAATCGAGTTAAAGAAAAGAAGATTATCAAAGAAATTGGGGCAACCTGCTAAAGTGGTTATGCGGCGTCCCTGCGCGAGGCCAATCATTTCCTTGCCTGGAGTCGATTCATTCGATAAACAGATATTTTTACTTCATTTATCAGCAAGACCGAATACAATCAAATAATACACTTTCTAGAAAGCAATAAAGGATTAGGGATAGGAAGTTTTACATCAAATACATCCGATCTCTCGAGTCTACACAAGGGAAGCACAACCACTACAACCACACAGCATGCGGGAGGAAGCAAAGAGAGAGAGATAGAGAGACAAAGCCACACAGACACACCACAGGAACCGGTCGGCACTAGAGATATTCAAGGCGTGTCAAATGTTTTCACATCGCCATTGTGCAAAATCGTTCGTACGCAACACTCCATGCAAGACGGGACCACACACAGAGAAGAAGCATGCAAGTCAAGCAAAGTGTACGCGTTTCGCGCTCTGCCCGCTCCCCAGATAGAAAGGAAAACGGAACGAAAAAGAGAAAATAAAAAAGATCGCAATGGCTCGGGTTCCTCGACGCGTCACACCCACCATCATAGAGAAATGTTGCCTGCCTAAGGAAAACATGCTGGAAGAATAGCCATGCTGAAACAGGTGAACAGAGACAGCGACACTGAATGTGTTGCAGGTGGTAAACTGAAGAGAAGGAGGGAGAGGAAAGAGAGACAAGAGGGGGCGAAAAGGGGGGTTAAGCGCGGGGATCCCCCGTCAGCGACAGATGCAGAAGAAGAGAAGACAGGGGAAAGCAGTAGACACGTCAAAAGCCTTGCAGACCTTTCCAACCACTCTAAATGTTTGCTCTAGTAGCGTTGACCAGCACTGCCAACATAAGAGTCGATCTGTGTGGAGCGTGACATTACACACGGTCCGCCATGGCGAGTGGAGAAGGTGCATTGTCGGCTACTGGCCCGAGTACAAACGACTATGGCGATCATTCCGTACCCACTACGTCCCCTGCCTTACAGACAAACACAAACACCGTCCTAAGAGAGGGGTAGGCCCGCTCTGCCCAGTGCAGGGTACAAACAGTAGCACAGCGGGGATAGGGGGAGTTAGCGAGGAGGGATGGGATCGAGAGGTTTGCGTTTCGTAAGGTTTCAAACCCGAGCCTTCGCGCGAATCGCTTCCAAGCAACACCCCACATTGTCACAGGGACGTCACAAGACCGGCGTATAGGTACAGACTTTGGCGTAAAAACTCGTCGCTTGGTTGTCCAGTATAATGTGACGTCTCGGAGACTGGGTAAGCGTGTTCTTTGGGATTCGCGCGACTCACGGATTCGAGTAACGAACGAACGCCAGCGGAGAGGCAACGCGTGAGTGTAACGCGAGGGAAGGAGGAGGAGGAGGAGGAGGGAAGGCCTTTGACCAAGTGTTAGTAGCAGACACCAAGGCGACGCACTTACTTGTCGCTTAAAGTTTAGTTCGATTTTGGGATAGTTAGAGGCGTAATCGAGGTCAAGCGTGGGGGAGGCGAGGAGGACTGCCCGCGCTGGACCAAGCACGCCGCACTCGCGGATCCTGTCCAGCTCCTGCTCCACGAGGGCAACCTCCTTCTCCAGCGTGGCTATCCTAGCGTCCTTGGTCTCCAGGATGGCGGTCAGGGTACTGTTGGGCGGGGCGGATGAGGGCTGCGTGTGGTATGCCTTCTCTAGCTGCAGCTGGAGGGCCCTCAGGGCTTCGTTTGTAGCCTTAAGCTCCTGAAGGGCGACAAACGAGGCTGGTTAGGCGCGGCCCAGACGGCTCAGCCTGTGGAGCCCCAGGCAGCCCGCGACCGACACCGTGGCACAGCAGGCCACCTGTCCTGGCCATTAAATACGATCTTTATTTGGGTCTCGAGTTCAATTAACCCATACCCACGCAATGTGGGTTCAGAGAACGTAAAGGTTAGGAAGTACAAAGTTTGAGATTTGGAAAACAAGATTAGCCACTTGGATGTTAAATGTGGTCGCGGGCCCTGGAACCCAACACAGTTTGAGTCACTTCATCATATTACTGGAGTATATACGATAACCTCTTCAAATGGGGGAACGTTACTATTTGATTCTTGCACGATAACATATTGCCCCTTATGAATGAATCGGAATGAATGCTTTGAGATTTCGTGGGTAGTGAATGTAATTCACCGAAAAAATGACAAAAAAACTTATCTTGACGGCATGAAACCAGGAGGGCGGGTGGTGTCGCTTTAAAGAATTTAGTGCCCGGAATACTGAACTTACATTTTCTCTTTTTATTTTTATCAAATATATGTAGAACTGCGCGATGAAACATTTTCATGCCATCGGTAAGCCTGCCTGTGCTCAAGAAAGGAGTGGCGCTTAACGTGATGCACGTTTTCTCAAGTGAACTGCATAAATTTGATGCAAGAATAAGGGATTTAATATCTTTGCAAGATTTCTCCTTTTTAATTATGAAAACGGGGTGCACAAATATTCCAAAGTGTATAGTTTGTACATGAAAAGGGAGCAATACCCTCTACCGCTGAGCCGTCAATTGCATTGAAAGGATAAAATATTAAATCTAAGAAGCATCCTGGATATGTATTATTTCATTAAGACACTGTCCACAAAAAGGTGGGTCCGTACAGGCAATATTCAAGAACGCATGCCGATAGAAAAAAAATAAACACAAAGAGGCATTTTAAATTAAACCGCACGAAAAAATAAAAAGTACTTTACAAGAAGAAGCATAACTTCGAGTGAATTACAAGCATTTAATACGAGTGGTACATAGCAAAATACCCTTGAACATTCTCAGAGTGCTTCACAAAATCACGGAAAAAGAAGAAAATTTAGCAGTTGTGGTTGGAAATGTGGAACGAAAAGAAGCAAGCAGTAGAGGGTAAATATTGGTGACGTTCATTAATTTATTAAAATGTTTTGCCGATGCACATCGCCGGCAGTAACTAATATGTCAAAATATTAGCAAGTTGTTTTTGGCACGATTTAACTCTTTCACAATGGGGCTTTAGATAGCACAGACAGGGGCAGCTCGATACCCGCTACCTGGTTTCAAAACTATTGAGCAAAAGTGCTTTGAACTAGACAGAGTCCTACACATCCAAACGAGCCACGTTGATCTCGATGTTCAGATCGGCCCACCTGCTCAATGCTCGAATGAAGGGAGAAGTTTTTAAGACTGCAAAATTTCCGGCAGGTGTATTTTCGGGGGAATCCGTAGTGCGATTTAAAGTAACCTGAATATTGATAAATCGATAACCAGAAAAATTGTGCAGTCTTTGAATCACTGGTTAGTAAATTGCCACGCATACGCATCGCGACCTTTCCGCTTAAGTATTCCACAATCGGAAAAAAATCACTCGCTTAAACATTTTGCATATATTTATAGCGATTGTGGATCCAAATAATAAAAAGGCCGGAAAAGGTAAGCGCTGTGGAGCCTTTTATAAATCCGAAATAATACGCTCTGATTCAGATCAGTCTTTGACTGTATCTCAGAAGTTATATGAGTCTGGTCGTAATGACCTGTAACGCGTATGGCTCCACAGGTGCGCGCGCAGCAAGTTAGTAATGCTGACGCGTCCGCAAGTCTAGCACCTCAATGCTTCGTCGTGCTAGACTTGAGGGACACGCTGTCACTCCCCTGCTACTCACTCGGTTAGACTGATTGAGCTGGTGGTCTCGCTCCTGGACCAGACTCTCAAAGTGCCGGGCCACGGACTCACTTTCCAGGAGTCGAGCCTGCAGGACCTCTAACGCCCCCTCACCTTCGTCTACCATTTTACCACCTACGAACACATTCCAAACACAACAAAGTGAAACAAAAACAAACAAAAAATATTAAGGTTGTGATAGAGAAAAGTAGAAAGAATGTAGCAAATCCGTCGGCTCTGACAAAAAATTTCAATTGTTAATCGAACCAAAAATTCCCTTAGAGGTGTGTCGTGTGTCTCTGAATCATTCGTTCGCTAAGGTCGTGAACGATCGGTGTGAAATATGCAGGAAAAACTACAATCCTAATTGCTCATCTAACCGAAACCACGATACTGGAGTGTAGGCAACCCTGTATTCCAGCTGTCAATAATGTCGTGCACCCCATCTGGTAAATGTGATATTTAAGTACAGTCCTGTAAAATATTGCGCACACTAAGGTTTGGTGTTTCAATCATGTTTCATCAATAAATTTTCAGCCCTTTGCTTCTGAGATGAACAAAATTTGCATTCCACACTGCAGACATTTTGCAGATAATTAATAACCTGTGATTTAACGGTAGGTAGGGCAGTGTTATGTATATTTACACTCTAATACGAGGCACCTCACGACGTGAGCCTAAGCCTTTTAAACTAATGAGTTGCATCGAGGGTCGGTACCTGGGCAGGGCACCCCCATCACACGCTGACGAACGACCGCCAGCTAGAATCTAGGTATGACCGTTTTCGTCTTGCTCAATATCTTAACAATTCTGTGGACTGTGTTTCAATCCACGGTCTGGTATAGAAAAAACCTGGAATGTATAAAATAGATTATGTCAGATAGGAGCAAGCGTAAAAAACGATCCAAATAATTGAAACTGGAAACGATTTGTACCTGGGCAGCTCCCACCGCCCATACCTCCAGCTGATCGGATTGGCTCTGATCTGCATCCGACCTACACTCATCGTCAGGTGTGACTTAACTTACATTATGAGTTTAGATACTTCTATATTAAATTTAACGAGAGGCGCGTTGTTTCTCGACTATTACTCAGACACATTTAACAAGCAAGCCGGAAAACGGTCCCGTCTTACCTGTGGTTGTGCTATATTAAATTGGAAACCCGAGCCATTTGCGGCGCATGCTATATCTCGCACGGGCAGAACGCGAGAACGCGTAGCGAGCATGTGGACAACCGCGCAGGTCAAGCAAATCTACGCGAAGCTCGCCTATTCTTTCTCACTAAAATTGAAAATTATTTTTGACCCTGCACCTGATACAGTATAACGTAATACAATGAACGAGTTTCGTGTATGTTAACAAAGATAAGACGAGCTTCAAAAGCACCGACTGCAGTGTGGCCGCCTCTGTTAACTGCATCGTTCTTACGAGCGAAGCGTGCATCTAATGTTCCGATAATATACAGTGCAATTGGCTTTAAATCAGTATACGAATAAGGGTCCAATCTCGTTGTTTAAAACAAAATCGAAAAAACACCAAACCGAGTGGGTGTGATTGTGTTTTAACTGAATCCGGTGAAATGCTGGCGAATCAAATAATGTGAAAAACTAAATTTAAGTAAAATCAATGAATGGACCATGCATCATTTAACAAAACAATATTTTTCATGAAGATAACAACTGAACGTACACGGTGTTGTATGTCTTGATACATAGCTTTGGCATGTCATGGTCAATAAAATTGATTTTGATTTCTCTACTTATGCAATATAGTTGTCAGGTAATGATTCGCGCATGCTCATTAGACGCTAAATTTGCTTAGCCATGTTGTTAAATGTAACGGCAGCTGGATTTAGCAAAAATGTGTTACATTGTGACATTTGGACATGAATCGATTCCCACCCTTAAAAACAATGTCTACTGCACTTAACCCACACTCCATAGGTAACAAGAATCTGACATTACTCATACACCTTAATTACATGATGGTGCTTGTGTCATGATGTGAACGCGTGAGTGGACGCGAATTCAATCAGAGAAGCTACACTGAGACAAGAGCTGTAGCACACAGAAGTGTACTACATAGAGCAACTCAGAAATGCAAAGAGAAACAAATGAACACAAAGCATCGTTTTGAAAAGGAAAAACATCTACGAACGAATCCACACCATCACAAATGAACACAACAGCCACTGATAGAGCTTATTGGTAGATTTATACCGGTACATCCAACGTACATAGCCTCACGAATGTTCAAAATGCCAGTTTAAGTTTTAGTCCGCAATAGAGGCAGTTTGTAAGATGGCTTCTGCACGAACTATTTGCAACGGTGCGTTGAAAGAGATTTCAAACAAAATCATTTTACAGCTTTCAAGGCAGTACATCACATCAACATGAAACACAGACCGACACGGATCCGAATACAGGAACAAATACAAATGGCTACTAATGGAATAGATAGGAAGTATCACGCCAGAACTTGCTGCATTTTCTGTGCAAGTTACGGGCATTCCTTGGCATATTTAACAATCTAAGGAAAGGAGAGGCGCACACCAAAATTATCGTGCCGGAAGGCTTCCTTAATACTTCATCACACACATTTATATCACTACAATAAAAAAAACCAAACTACTAGATAAAGCAAAGGATATTCCAAACACATTTCCAGCATGAGAAATGTACGAATAAAGAACGTGTTTCAACTACAAATAGAGCGGCACGACAATTTTGTGAAGATGGAAAGGAATGGGAAATAGGAATGTGCGAACGAGCTGAAAAAGAGCAGCACCTGCTTCTGCGCCATGGCCTGCATTTGCTGCAACATGATCCTCTCCTCATCCTTGCCTAGAACAGAACCACATGATCGTCCATTCATACCTGTTTTCACAGTACTCACTCAAAGCTGCCGATCTAACATTAAAAACAGGATAGCCACTTTGACAGCATAGCAAAGGTCTTTAAACATGCCGAATACGAATAACTCAATGAGAATAAGTTTCTCAGATGATAGACTCATTTCTGCACACAACTTACGTCGACTGTCGACTTGTTTCGGCACATCGACCGAGACAGCTGTTAAAAAGGTGTTAGCGACAAAGGAAACTAAGGGCCGTTAGCACTTGCAACTAGTAAATATATCAATTGATTTTACGAATAGACTACCCACTCATTGTGGTTTATTATAGTATATAGACGAATTAATGCGTTAAGCCTCTTGATATGTGCACATTATAAAACTTGACCGATAATTGTCATATCATACATCCAGGCACTTCACAATCACAGAAGGCAAAATACGGTACATACCTTCTTCCCAAAATTTTCCAAAAAATAAAATTAACATTTAGCAAAATTATATCACAGCTCTGCCACAAGCGTCATTTTAATAATTTATGATATGTTTATTATGGCGTAAAGATCGGTGGTATGCTATGGCAGGATGCCTTAATTTTATCCTTATTGAACACAAACTGCTCGCAAAAAAAGAGCAGATAAAACTGATTAGGATGAAAAATATTCGGTTCCATATCAATTGTTAACCTGATAATAAATTATCACATACAGCTTTGACAGATTCTAATAATGTTTTACATTATGCTCCCGCGTGTTGCACCCTATGCATTGAACACAAATCAATAAGTCAGTAAATAAATACAAAGATTAATTTAATCGCAAGTCAAAGATTCCGACGCGATCGAAACACCAATAAAAAGAAAGCATAGATAGAAAAAAAATCATTTATCATCAACAAAAACGGAAAACGGTGATAAGCAAAAAGTTACGTTTACTAACTCCTTAAAATATTTTTTATTTTGCCAAATTTAGCGCGCGGTTGTCTTTGACTAGCGATGATTGCTACACCCGAAGCTTAGGTATGCCCAGATGCCAATTGTTAAGAGCCGCCCACAATATAAGACTGAACTCACCGACACCTTTGTTTTGGAGCATCTCCAACAACTTCTTTATTGATTCATCTCTTGCAGCTAGCGTCTGTTTTTGTGTTTCGACACGAATTTCTAATTCCTGTGAAGAGAAAAGCATGCTATAGACGATCTCAACATCACGATTTGTTCCCCCTTCCCTAAGGGCACACAACCCGCCAAACCTACCTTTACAGTCTCTCTCATTATGGAAAGTTCACGAGTAAGATGATCGTTTTCTTGAAATAGGATTTCCATCTGCTGTTGCATCTCTACCGAAGGCCCTCTCGTGCGTAACCTAAGCTCTTCTTCCAACTGCCGCACCAACAAGGCTTGTTTCTGTAACAAAGGAACATAAAGCGAACGGTTAGTCTCGCAGGAATTCACTTGTTTGACCCGCAGCAAACAAGAACGCCACTGATGTCGAAGACACATAAAAACTATAACTCGGTTCAAAACCAGGAGAGGTAAGAAAAAAGTAACTACGCGGACTGTACTCGACTTCCACTGATCTAAAGAGTTTCCTCGCATTATGTTTGAAAGTAGAAAATGTTGTCATGCAAGGCATTGCTGCGGCATGCAGTCCGCAGGGTGCACTGTCTCGACTGACGTGACAGATAGCTGTCTAGGCGCACCGCACACCGGGCGCTCCCCATAGGCCGCACTGCCGCACTATGCAATTACTGTCCTATTGGCTCCCGGTAGGTTGCTCTGCTGCTGAGCTCTACGCGTGCTGCGAAAACGTTTGTCTCGGACCAAAGCATGTCATTACTAAGGCAGCGCGCAGCCCGCAGCGCACCGTGCAGTGCAGAGCGAAGGGTGTACCTACGTCAGAGTTCTCCCTGAGCTCCTTGACAAACTGCGCATGCGCCTGAAACACAACGGACCTTTAAAACAGAGTCTGTCCGGCCTCGCCCTCTCACCTACCGACGACAGCGCCGAGTAAAAAGGATACGGTTTGGTCATTAAATATCAGAGCCGGGTCCTTGACGGCCGCCCCGAGTAGGGAGCGGAGGGGCTGATGAGAGGCTATCCGTGACCACGCCAATCCCCGGCGAGGCCTCTGCGTCACGCGCCGTAAGCACGCCTCTCTCTCTCTCCCCTCCTCCCGCTCTCCCCAATGGACGGCCGCACCCGCAATACGCCACCCTAGCGCCCTCCCCCCGCCCGCCCCGCCCCGGTCCCGGAGGCCCTCTTGGCCCGCTCCACATACCACAGCGGCGTGGCGCCCGCCGGGCTAAAGAAACGCGCCAGCAGACATAATGACCCGGGTCACATCGACCACGAAAACGACAGCAAAAAAGCAAATTTAAATCAATGACTCGTTCGCTCTTCTTGTTCTCCTGGAGGGGGACGTGCCGGATGGCCCTGCGCGGCGCCGGGCGGGCGGCGAGACTAGAAAGGGCCGGCCCCCCATAAATCGCCTCCCCAGACAAGCCGCATTCCTTCACACGACGCCAAAGAAGACAGCGGGCCCAGTAAAAAGGCGCCGACACGCTCCAAGCCGTCGTGTCCGCTAGCTCGGCTCACGGACCGCCCGGCGGATACCGTCCCGTCGAGCGCGGGCGCGCCGCGGCTCTGCCTACCCCGCGGGCGCTCGCCCTGTTGATCTGTACCCCGCCTCGCTCCAGTCGTACAGAAGAGGTGCGGCGGGGCGGGCAGGGCGAAGGGAGGGGAGGGCGGGGTGGGCGGGGGAGGGTGATCACTATCGCGCCC